CGATTGGCAAGAGCCATATTCGTCCTGTGCAACTGAACTGAACTGAACTGAACTGAAGTCTGAACTGAACTGAACTTCAAGGTCACTTTCTTGGTGTCATTTTGATAAGGTTGTTATAGAGACACTTCCAAAATACGCATTAATGTTTCGCCCTAAAAAGGATGAGAAAATAAAAATTGTTTGCCCGAGCTTTGAGAGCTCCGACGAAAAAATTTGTCAAGATGATGATTTGAGGAAAATGATCGACGAGGAAACCACAAGAATCGCCACGAATCGTTTTGCAAAGTGAACTTAGAATACCTGAATAATAACTCGAAACCCTTACAGGTCTTTGCTAAATTGTGACAAAAATGTTTTAGAAGAAGATACCGTTGTGTTCCTGCTGGCGCAAAAGAACAAGGAACTGGTAGAAACTTTGAAACGAAAAGTACTACTCGCAGACAGTACAATGCTATTTTCCTTCCTGATATGCTGTTTTAATCGTAATAACACATGACACTGTTCCGAAAAATTAATTGAATCAATTTATTCTATTAAATAAGGAAAATGCAGTCCAAAAACTCATGTTGTATTTCGAAAACGAACATCAATTTTTGGACTAAATTTTAAATATTGTACGAACAATCCAATTTATATAATCATGCGTTATCATTTTATTCAGCAGAATATGTACTATGTATGACTTAAAACATATCTTCAATTTTTAATATTAAAAAATGAACATAAGCATGTTGTTTGGTACCCCAAGTAGCACGAGCATACCGCTGAATGTCCCACTAAGTGTAACCCTAAGCGTCCCAATGAAACATTGTCGTATGCTCAGGGGACACTCAAATAATTTTTTGATAGTATTAACCTATTACCCCAAAAATTGAAACCGGAGACCACCCCTTAAACTAATTGTTTTCGAAACTTCATCTTCGTTTCCTTCTGATTACATATAAACCACAACGTATCAAGTTACACGCATAAAGCTTTCGAATCGCATGCTCCCAAAATTCCTCTATTGTTGCTTAAGCAACAGTTGATATTAATTATTATCAATTTGAAGCCCTTTCATCTATATTTTATACCGATTACTCAAAACAACCTGAAAAGCGCCCAAGCGTCTTAAATAAATAACATACCATAATGGAAACAATATAACTTTTATTTATTATAGATGAAATTGGTTAAGATAATATATCTAATGAACCATCATCTTTAGGGCCTTCGTTTTCCTCATAGTCGTCTGAAATAGAAACAGAATGAAAGTTAGAATTTCACTTAATTCGATCCAACATAATTTGTATTTGAAATAGAAAAAAACAAACATGTTAGGCTAAAATTTACCAGTGGAAGGCGGCAAAAACACGTGAAGTTGAAAGATTCATGAGAATCCATAGGTCTTGTTCTCTGTATCCAACGTTGAATTTTTCCTACTATGAGAATTGTGTCCGCATTTGGATAGCGCTTCTGGAGAACGGAATCTATATCCTAAGTTTATATATTCCGCAGTTTATCTATAACTTGTCATAGCTTACTATTAGGCAGTCCCATCATCCCATTGACCCCTCACCAGTTGACACGAATGAGCATGAAATCCTCAGAGATGGTTTTCAAGATTGCTCGAGTGCAATCTCCAGCGGATTGTCCACCAATTTTATTGAAATAATAGAGTCGTCGTGTGATTATTAGAATGCTCATCATGTCATTGTGCACTTCTTTATTTTCTTGCTTATCCCTAAGCGCCTTGTAGTCGCTTAACGTCTTCCCTGGAATACAGTTGAGGTACCTGCTTTGCATATATAGTTTAATAGGAAGCTTAGGTTCTTCCTCACCTCACCCCTGGAAAATCGCATTTCATGTAGATTCTTTTCCTGCAACGCTATAGAATGCATTTAAGATATCTTAGCGCTTACTGGTCACTCTCAGAATCAATTGACACAAAAAGCTATTTCCGGATTCCTCTATCCTTTTCTTGGACGTAGTAGAGGACACAGGAGGACGAGTTGATCTAACTGAAATGGAAATATAAAGAACATTGTACTTACGTGCGTTTGGGAGTTGAAAGGAAAGTATGTGAACTACGAGGAAGGGCAAGACTCCTAATAATGCTATGTTTATGATATAAAACAGGGGTCTTACGCTTTGTTAACCGAAGTGGATGCTGCTGGTGAAGTACCCTTCGGCGATTGGCTAGTAATAGCGGATAATTTTCATCTCAGTGTTCAGCAAATTTATGTAGTTGGCCATCACTGTCTATGGGGTCTGTCGTGAATTGCCTTTTCTTCCTTAGATAATTAAAGTATGTGTCTCAACTCACGGCTTTTGCTTAGCACGTGCATCCATAGCAAAGGTGGCACCTACTGACGGGAATTCTGAGGCTTCTAGTATCACTTTGCAGTCTGCAGGCCTCAGCATATGTGTCTGAAATTAATATGTTGAATGAAGTTCATTTAACGACAATCTTATATATCCTCACTTCATAAGCAACGGCATTCGACGGGGGTGACAAACCTTTAAGAACCACTCTCTCCATTTTGGAGGAGGATATTCTTATCCACTTCACCTGTTATCCACAGTCTATCCATGTGATCGGCACTATCACAATTGCGTTGTTAACGATGAACTCGATAATAATAAACATCTAAAGAAAATGTTTAATTAGTATGAAAACTGTAACCGTGCATCTTGCCATGTGTGTACAATTGAATAAAACGCCCAATCATCCGCGAATGGTAGTAATAAGCCTTTGCAGTGCATATCATCGACGGTTACTACATTTACACCGTTTTGCATAGTCAAACATGGGTATGGATATGACAGGATTGCGATGGTTTGTCAAAAGCATCGTCGCAGAATAGAAAGGGCACTACCCATAGACGACCACCATCAATCTTTTGAATAATCGATGGTTTGTCATTAACCAGAACTATATGATCAGAACACTTTTTGGTGTAAACAGTGCTTTCAATGACAACCTTCAATACTGTGCGTGGTAAGCGTCTGATGTTTTGGATGTCAGTATCATCCCGCAAAGCGATAGGCCTGTACAGTGATGCAATTGCTGCCCGTTCCGTCATGCACTTGAAGCCTTGCTCCGATACTGAATTCCTGGAGTAAATAGAACCACGTATTACTAGCATGAACGAGTAAAATGAAAATACTGGGAATCTGTCCACTGGACCAAAATGTCTAACATCCTTAGAAAAATAAATCCAATTGTGAATCTTAAACACGACTTAGTCGTTTCCGTACAACGCAATATATCTTCCGATAACTTTCTACGCATTATTATCCACAAAATCGAAGTAGTGTGCACACCATTTCTCACAACTTAGCAAGAAAGTGAAAACGGAGAAATACAAGAAGTTCTCATACATAAAATTTGGCAATATATATATATATATATATATATATATATATATATATATATATATANAGTCGAAAGTCTCTCCCCAATTGACCAGGTCAAGGCAGGTAATGTTTGCGAATATTATAATGTTACTAACACAACGATGTTAGTAGAGGATTATATTCGCTGACGTCTCGATAACCGCATGTAACCTTCCTCAAGGCAAGCGTAACAATCAAAGTTGATTGATTTGATTTGATTGTAAAACCTGCTTAAGAAAAGTTACCCACGGTAACCTAAACGTCGTGGAATATAATTCTCTACTGACATTGCTGTGTTATTAACATTATAACATTCACAATAAATCAACACATGACGCATCGATTTTTCGATACACTTCTAACATCATTTGGTCCAGATATGTTAAAAGCAGGTGGTTTTCCTGTGAGAATTCACAACCAGAGTCTACGGCTAGTCAAAGTCTGACCTGCATGGCAGCGGAGCGGTGTGTGAAAACCGTAATCTATTCGGAGCCGTTTTCCAGCCCATCGGATCGTACAACCATTGGACTGAATCAAACGTCAAAAAGGACCAATACGCCTGAATGCCCAATCGAGCTGATGATCACTGCATGTGGTTCGTACATCTCTTCTTGGTCGGTTTGGAATCAGGGTTTAGCTAACTTTTAGGTGAACTTACAGTGATCCACCAACCCGGTTAAGGCCCCAAATGTCAGCTTTTCATCCTCTCACTTTGGTGAAAAAACAACCATAAGAAGTTCAGTTCAGTTCAGTTTGTACAACCATTAACCGTGCACTATCACGCCGGTTTTGATTGCTATCTTTCGGCTGCCCATTTGGATGAACATTAGAAGAAATACAGTGAGTAGGGCTTCCTCAGAAGAAGCTTTTTGGGGTGCTTGTTTATACGGGAGTATCTTGCGAGGTGCAAGGGAAAAGTGACCAGCCGCAAGCCGATACACTCACCCTTGACAATACTGAGGCTTTCGGAGGCAATGTTACAATGGGAATCTTTAGTAACCCCATTTGACAAAGACGTATCAATTATAGTTAATGTTTATAAATTATGTAGAACAGTGTTTTTTTAACTTCTAGATATCTAACTTGATGATTGAGTTAAAAATAATATAAATGCTTAATCAAAATCTGAAGCTGAATTTAATAAAAACCAATGTTCTTATCTGGCTGCTTTTTCCGATTAGAATGAAATCGTCGAACGTTTAAAAGAGAGAGTAAAAATACTGGAACTCCGATTAGAACAGGTTGTTCTCACACAGTCGTTGACAACGGAGTCCGATTGTTCACGAGTAAATATACTGGAACGTTGCTGTGAACAATTACAGCGTCAAGTAGATCATGTTTCAGTCTTCAAGGATACGCCTAAATTCAGGTACTTGAGATGGAGGAATTCTTGCACGATTACGGATTAGTGTGGGTGGGGACGCAAACAGATGCGCAACACCAACCAATTGACATACAGGAAAACTCGACATGGAATACAGGTATGCGGAACTGTTCGTTAGTTTAAATCTGATTCAGGCTCTTCTGTGAAAAATCCTGATACACTGGAAAAGATTGTCAAAAATATTGGACTACTCAATCTTGGGATTGGTGCTGGTGAGGCTAAAGTTATTCGAGATCCAAATGATCCCAAACTGGCGTATTTAAAAGAACAAGATGCAATCTCACTAACACTGTACGCTGATGGAATTAGTCTGTGTGAGGGTCCGTTTCGGCCATTTACACAACATGAAACACTCCAGTTTGTACAGGTAGGTGAAATAACCCATTTCTATTCCAAATAAAAAGGATTGGCTAAATATTTATAATGCATGCAATTTATAGGAAGAACACAGTGAAAAATATAGGCTTTTGTAGATTGTTTTTATTTTTTCCATTATAATGACAAAATTTTATGCGCAACCGCAAGAGCTCATTCAGCATGCTAACTGTGGAACTTCCCTAATTCTTTTATCTAACTCCTGTCTTAAAGGACACAATCAATGTCTTCTTTCCACCTTCTTGTAAGATGTTGATTAGGAGAATGTGAAACTGGAAAATATCAATTCTGCCTACAGTAACCCCCTTGCTTTGATCAAATGAATGATTAACATTTTCTCAGTTAAAGAGCTTCTCTTCTTCCTTCACATACCGAATCAACAACCCAATAGTTTTTTGTTCGTTTCTCTAGAATAATTAACGATTTGGGTCAGAGGACAATCTTCGTTTCTTTTATTTAATTAATTAGATTGAAATAAAAGTCGACGGGATAATTTTATTACTCAACAAATCCTCTGAATTGTTTACACTATCATTAAAAGTATTCGCGAATTCGATTACTTTGGAATCTGACGGATCTTGAAGGAAAAACAACTGTATTTATCAAAACAAAAATGAAAGAGCATAACTTTAGCAAGCATTAAGATCTAAAAGGAAGCCAAAAAATAACGTGAACGTTCCTCAATGATGGTACAAGTTATGAGAGTCCATTTGTAACCCTGGTAAAGTGAGAATTTTGAAAGTAATCTGGGAACCTCTGTGGGCTGGCATCTACTTTACTCCAGCGTGAATGTTATAGAAAGTGATGAATATGTTCGATTAATAGGTCATTGCTAGCACGAAATCATTATACATCCTTGTGTAGACTGTCCAGGGGTAATGTGAACCTGAATGATAGTTTCTGGTTTAAAAACTTCACTTTACGTTGCGTAGGAATATAGAGACGACATGTAATAGAAGGTCCTAATTTCACGACAAGTATTTGGTGCATTTTAGGGCTTGCGTGCAGTGAACAGTTAAATATGGTACTCTTCACAGCACAATAAAATTGTTTTAAGTTTTCTTACACTATTTGATTGCACCAGCAGAGTGATGAAATTCTAAATTTTTCCAGTATGCGTTCAATGTGTTGAATGTCTCTTCTGCTTTCACCCTTGGAGCGTTTCCCATCTTTTTTAACGCACTGTAATTCTGCTCGCCGTTTTCGTCATTATTTTTATAATTGTGTTAAATATGGATTACTCTGTTGTAGAGTTTATTTGAGTTGTAGCACACTTATTTAGTAGTTTATAAATCACAACTGTTCCGTAGATCGTTGCTAAATAAAACAAGATGGATTCCACAGGGAAGGTAAATAAGGAGGATACCTGTGGTGTATGTAAAAAGTTTTAAACTATAAGGAGATGTATTTGAAAAGTTCCAAATCCAATTTAGATTGCATAAATAAGTTATTCCGTAAATCACAAGCGTTGTACCAAGAATTGTGATGTTTATGAGTATTATCTATGCCGATAAAACACGAAGTGATTTTATTGCTGTCGGACAAATGAGATTTAAGAATGTTCTAATTTAACCTATTTTTTCATACGTAGCAACTTGGATTTAGCTGACTATCCATCGACCGCATATTACAAAACTGCTCATTTTAGGTAGTCCAGCATAAACTCGGGAAGCATTAGACTCGAATTTACCTCTTTTTAGAGTTCACCACTAGTGAGTATTACCGGTCTGTAGGAGGATTTGTACTCCGGATCTCTGACGTGGAAGGCAAGTGTATTACTGCCAACTCAACCAGATCACAAAGATATTGACCAGTCAATTTATTCGGACTAATAGAAATAACAGAAGACGGTCAGCTTTCCGTTATCTCCAATCGAAAGCAACCGAAGCTCTCTTGTTGTGTTGGCATTATGCTCTTCCTACAAACCAGCACTAACTGTAATTATTAAAAGCCTGTCACTAGATAATTATATAACTTAATTAGAGATATATCAATATGGGGAAAACATTACACAACCTATTCCATATTTAAAATTCCTTTTCAATAACTATACAACTTACTTCCACTTCCTGAATGTTGTCATTCATTTTTGACTGACCGCTCACCTTTGCTCTATATAGCCAACTGTGGTGGTTGCACCATGATTTTCAGTTTAGACAACCATTTACCATGCACTTTCTTGCGACATGTTTGGTTGTTGTCTTTTGGTTACCCACTCAAACGAATGGGTAAAAGGAAGATTGGTAGGTTTAAAGCTGTTTCAAGAGGGAAATACAGAATTCCTATAGATTAAGGTTGCAAGGACATCGAGAAGATGTACGAGCTCCACTGTTTACGATACTCGGTCACGTCGCTCAGTGTCTCTAACCATCTGCAACGGTGATCCCGAGTTTCCCATCTAGTAAGCCTAACCTCAGTAATGTAGACATCTACCATGATTAGTGTATTGACACCCTAATGCCAGGTGTTAGTTTGACTGTCCTTGACATTTTCGTTCCATTAATCGCAGTAGAAAAGGAAATTTTGGTGATATGCGCTACTCCATAGCCCAATGTAATTCACTTTGGTTCAGTTAAACTCTCTTATTTGAAAAGTCTTGAATATCTACATGAAATACAGACTGGATTCTACCCCTCGCCGACGTTTCAGTGCACCACTTCACCTTGTGCAAATCATTAGCTTTGTTGGAGCAAAGCATATTAAGCAGGGAACAGAGGTAAAAATGTGTTGATCGAGTGAGGTGATAAGAGATTTAGTTTCAACACACTCCCTTTAAGCGCTTTAGCTCAGATGTGTAATGCTGTGCACCAAATTAACTTGATCATATTCTTTACTAGGCAACGAACCCCGACGGTGTTCATTCCAATTACCTTAGATTTAATAATGATTTATTTTCAATCCAAACTGTTGATGTTGTTGTTGTTCTCCATAATCCGTTCATCCTTGTTTTCCTGATATGTATCCCAAACCCCGTTTTCTATATTGCTCGTTGTTGCGTTGGCACCACACTTATTCTCATGACGATACTGTGCATACATGATTTGAAATAATATTTACACGTACACTCCTTCATTTTATCCGGAAAAGTGAGTGTCTTTCAGCTGTTGCTCGTATTGTTTTTCTCTATTCAGGACATTCTGGATGGGTTCTTTCCGTCGGAATTGGAATCCCTGCATCCGGATGGTGTGGCATTCAAATTGATTGATAAACGGCAAATTGAGTTTTTGAAAACACGTCGTCTGGTGCCAAAAGCACAAAAGTTAGGTGGCTGTGGAAAGAGTTCTTGCCTGATAGATTTACCGAGCACCGAAACCACGACCAAAAACGGCCACGATGGCCATTTTAAAACGGACACTTCGAATATCTCTCACAAACTAGCTGAACATTCTACCTCCGAGCCAGACGAAATCCAGTCTAGGTAAGTCGTCGGGCCAATTTCGATATTAGACGCTTAGAAAGAAATATATCTTTATATACATATATATTACCGGTTTGCGAACAAGCAAAATAACAGATTGAGTATTATTTTACATTTTATTATTATTATTATTTTGTTATTAGCTGAAATTTTCTGTGACCCTTTAGCCATGCTGAATTCAATTCACTCTGGCTACAGGTTTCAGTGAATTTATTAACCTAAGGAGCGGTGTACTATCAAGCTTTTGAAAACTGGTATGGCTGTAAAGAACTGAAACTTGTATTTGTTGTAATACTTTAATTTTTTTCTTCCACTTTTTATCAACACTGATGTAGCCTATTTACTAAATAACAGGACTCTAGAACAGTTATAGATATCTATAGCGAAATGGGAAAGTCAAGAACACGATTACCAGTCTGTTTCATTATGCTAGCTCAGAATAACAGAAACATAGGGAGTGTTATCGACGGATTTATATCATACTTCTGGCCAAGCATTCGAGAAGTTTCAAGGTTTCACTGATCAAAAGATTGCCAATGAGGTCAGGGTTTAAATTGCACTTCTTGCATTAGCCCAATAGATTTTAGAAGGTTTAGGAACTGTGTCAGGTCACACACAGAAGTCTAGTTGGTATTTCAGTTTCAAGTTCAGTTTCGTTGGTATTTTCCAAGTTGAGACATCTGTGGTGCTGCAGCGACATCCAGATGTCCGTGAATGATCGTTTGTATGCTGCGGCAGTTCGGCCACTTTTGCTATACGGCGCAGAACCTCGGCCATTAAGAAAACAGGATAAAGGTAGACTTGGAGGTGTGGCTGAGTGTCGTAAACAGTGGCGCTGCTGCATCCACTCAGTTTCTTTGTAACCTTAGTCTACTGAAATTCTGCATTTTCTCTTCTGCTCTGCTGTCAAATTTTCAACCTCGCTTCTATTCATTCGTCTAAAAGACCATCAAAAATACAACCAAGCAAAAGCAACCAAGACCGCCGTATGAAAGCTCATGCTTGTTTCAACTGAAACGGAAAGTGAAACTATATGATTTTCCAGTGTCTGAGTCTCATTCCTCGGTAGATCGATAATCTGTCGGGGGTTGAATGAAACCTTTTGGTCTCAGGAAGTTTGTGTTAGTACGATTTAGGATGCACATTATTACAACGTAGCTGGAAACATTGGTATGCATCATCATACTGAAACCAGTTATATAAAAACTGTATAGTAGTGAAAATCAACTTATGTTCAGTCTACATCTAAAATGAGAGACCAAAGCCTACAAAAACAAATTTAGCTATGTATACGTATACGTAATACTGCCTCCGTTAGACGTACTGCCTAATGGCGGTCACCTCCAACGAATAAGCATATCGCCGCGATCCCGATTGATCATTGAAACCCCAATTCTAGTGCGCGTAACAACCCGGTCGTATACCTGGACGCATACAAAGCGCCACTTGTTCTTGTGCCAAAGAAAGCTCGTTGGTCGGCCATTTGTGTCAGGTGCCGGGTGTTACATTCAGGTTAATATGTGGGAACACTTCATTCCAACCGGCTGTTTTAACGAAGGACACTGAAATCACTTGGCAGAGCAAATATATATTATTGAATTCCGCTTATACACATGCGTTCCGTTGTTCGCAACATTAAATGATGTTGATAAAATATTGAAAATCGGTTCTCGTAGCTCTGAACTGAATTCCATTTCACCATTTCCATTTTTCACCGAGCTTGGCGATTTGTGATTGATACATCGCAAGCACTGACGATGTTACCTAGGCTGGTGATGAAAGGTTTGCAAAGGAGTTGTCAAGCGCAGTGAAAAGAAGAAGTAGATACTGATGTGTAAGTTGGTAGCTACTGAAAATACACTTTTAGCTTTAGGGCATTTAGTTGGAAAGGCTACTACAAATATTGATATTGCAAAGACTGGTTAAAAATGAGGAGATATGGCGATCTTCCACAATGGCGAAGTAATATGGCCTTTTACGTCCAGCCTGTGAGTGAAAATATCAAGTGTTGCACAAAGGATACATTGTTTTGCATTCACAAGCCATGAAATAAATCAGAAAGGGATAACAAAACAATAAACGTTTACTGTTCCGTATTTCCACTCAAAGTGAACTCCGTTCTTGAGATGTGGTTACATTAACAGGCTGAGGATAATAAATAATAATAAATACTGTTCATGAAGTTGCACCCCAAATACTATCATCAATCTACAACATTTGACATATTTACGACGATCAAGGCTAAAGGATTCCGGGTTTTATACAACGATTGGTTTGAAAGGGTGCACTAAAGAGGGTGTCTTTTTTGAATGGTATTCAATATCTTCGGATCGTTAATGAATTAACCTCGCATGAACAGAGTTAATTTTAAGTGGTGATACGGAACGGTAAGCATTTACTTTTTGTGGTATCATTTTTTGATTTATTTCACGGTTTGTGAATTCAAAACAACGTACCGTTTCTTACATTTAAATGTTTTGCTCACAGAATTATCGCACATTATGCGGATATACTGAAACTGTACGAGATGTGTCAAATGGTTTGACGATATGCGCATATCGTCAAAAAAATTGACGCAGCATACGACCGCCGCACCTCTTTTACTAACCAAGATTTGCGACATCAACGTTCGTAGAAAATGAAATGTTTTAACTTTCGTTGACCCCAGAGTATTCCGATACCTTTTTATCTGACTCGCCTACATCGGTATGACTACGGGTCGTGGCTAAAGCATTTCAGGTTTCGGCTAAAGCTTGATGAGAAAAGGGGTAGATCTAATTGATGCATTCACCGCCACTTTCACACCACCGCGACAACAGATCTTACAAGCGCACATCGTGTTAAGACGGCGAATAAAGAAAAGGTTTCCGACCCTTAATTACAATGTGGTTCACTATTTCGGATAAATTTGTTGAATAATGGATAGCGTGGAAAGAACATCATCCATAGATCCAATCATAAATTACTCGGACAAAAATAACCAGTAAGGTTTTTCAGTTGATTGATTTCATGGGTTGATCCAAACGTCTTCATACCAGATGGTCATAGACAAACGGTCCAAAGACGTTCAAGGTTTATTATTTAGAAGTGAATGTGCCATATCGTGCATCTGTGAGAGTGTTGCTCGAGAGAAATGAAATCAATGGTTTCTGTCTTATTCGAAATCAATAACCGAACATTTAAAACTCTGTTACCGAACTTCATCTGTTATCATTTATTTTTTTGAACCAGTAAAAGCCCTCCCAGTAAGCAGTAAAACAGGTTTTAGTCAGTATCAATTTTTTGTAATCGTGTGTGTATCATATAACAGTTACTTAAAATGTGTCCATTGGGTCAACTGTTGATGGTAACCATTTTATAAATTAGAGTTCATTCTCTGTAAATGAAGCGTTTCAGTGTACAATCCTTTCCCATCCACCCCATCGAAAATTTTCTGTAATCCTTTAGTGAAATACGCCGATGGTATGAGTTTTGGTTCCAAGTTTTACAATAATTCTCTTTTCTCTAAGTTTCTGGTGCATCTTCTGTTTTCGCCCGATCTTTAAATTCCCAGTTATTTATCAGTGCCTCCGAAATGCAGCGACACAACCTTTTTTATTACCTAAGTAGAACACGGTGGCGCTGCTGTTTTTCTTATTATACATCCTTTGAAATACCTAGGAGCTGTTATTACTAAGATCTAACGTAATCTTTACATATGGAAAATACAGCTAGAGAAAAGCAGCACACACCTTTCTTTTCGTTTCACGTTTTGCGACCTTTAAAATCCTGCGGCATCTTTTCGTCCGTTTTATGTCTTTTGTCATGGTTCCTTACTATTCGCTGGTTGTGCTTGTCTTCTAATTAAGAATGTTTAATTACACCCCTCACAAGGGTTATGCCTTATTTGCACTCGCTTGGATTGGGTACCGATAAATATTTTACCTCTTGTAGAAAGTTTTGCGACAACATCTAATCAAACAACACTAGTTCCATACATATGTACCTCACAAAATTTGTGTCCACTCAATAATTCAGATGGCGTTGCAGTTTTGTTTAGGCTAGAAATATTGTTCACCATTTGTCTAAAATGATAACTTCATGTGTTTCCATACATTCTGTTTTTTCTCACATTTCATAAGATGATTCATTTTGTGACTGTTTGTTAACACGATTATCCCAGTGAGAAAGCAGATACAATTCTCTGAAACGGCATGAATAAAACTGTTCTCTTGACTGAACTAGAAATCCTGACCCATTCAGGATCAGAAGCTTACGTAGGTTCTAAAATTCAAGAACCTCTATGGAATTATACTTGGAACACTTAAATCCTTCAAGTGGGATAATTATCAGCTCGTTTATGAATGTGACTGTATGTGTGTATCACCCTAAGCCAAAAACTAGAACGCTTGCTAAAAGTAGCAACTGAATGACGTAATTGGTTTTCCTTACCGTGCAGCCGACACTGTCCACATATATTATTGCTCGAAAGTTCAACAGTTGAAGCCATGCGCATATGAAAATCAGACGGATGTCTGATTCAATCACGGATGCAGTTGTCATGCTTTTGCAATGACTGCTCCGATAACATGTGATTCTTTTTTCACTAATTTATGGCATCAAATTCAAATTTTTATTATGGGATATAACTTACAAAGACTTCGCTTTCACAAATCCCATAGGGTGTTTACACATGGGTTCGGATGAAGAATCACAATATCACAGTTAG